TGTTAGACGGTCTCTGACACTGACCCCCAGTTGGACGATGCAATGGCCTAACTCGCATGTGATTGGCCTAGGAAACAGGCTTGTGACCGGTACGGCATCAAGGCGAGTTTTGACTACTCAACAGTATGGCTTCAAGAGCCAACTCTATTTCGGTGTGTACTTCATGTCAGTCCCTGATAGCGTTTCTAGTCATTTGAATAGCAACAATATTTCCGGTCCACTACTACACAGTTTTTTTACTCATTTTTGCGCGTGAATCTATCTCAGGCCTGGCGGAATCACCGCTTCTTCAATATGCTAACTCAGTTATTCATTTTTCCTCGATATTTCTATAGTGTGTCCGTGCCTACCTTTTAGTTGATCACAGGAAGGAATGTGACTCTTGTGGAGATATGCTTCAGACGAATGTTTTTTTGGGGTTCCGGTTCCATCGAACATCCCTCAGTCGCAGCCTGTAGGAGAGGTCCTCTGGAGATGCCCCTGGTAAACGAGACAGTGGTATATGATCCTTCCTTGCACCCTTAAGATAACAATGATCGGTGAAGTGAGCTTATATTTTAGTGCAATAAACTCTCCATGATATGTAATTTAACACAGAGGATTGAAAAGTGTATACTGAGACTGTAAGTCCTGAATCATCCAGCATCTTTCATACGTTTCCTGAAGAAAAATCACATGACAGGAAAAATGAATGGGACCGAACAGTATAAACCACCATCACGCGATTTAGTTAGGTGATTACCTTTTCGTCACTACTAACAAAGTGCCAGTAGTCAGCCGAAAAGGAGGCTTATCGCTGCGTCGTTGGTACGACCGGCTAGCAGCAATGAAGCTGAAAGTGAATCAGGCTTATCCTCTTAAAATCTCTCATTTTCTCATTTTCTAGCTGCAGTTCCAAGCACTTCCACAGGTGACTGTACTAAACAAGGCCACTAGCTAGATTTTTAAAGGAAATTATATATGCTTGAAACATGAACCGTGTTCCTTTAGGTCAGTCTGATTTATCTTGGGATCTATAGCTCGACATGGAGGAACTGTTTTGCTGATACTTACAAAGTCTAGGAAAATCCACTTGATTCACACGTTCAAGGAGAAATGGGGTAATATTTGACTTACCGGATAACCGGTCAATCAGAATAGTGATCCACGATCAATATCATGTCTCTCTCCGCTAGTAAAATACAAGTAAAAAGACTGCTAATATCATTCATTATTACACTCACATCCACTATCTATCTAGAAGCTCCGATCACGAGGTTGATTTAAACTTTGAATTGTTGATTAAACGGAACTAAGGGGACGGCTACTAGGCTTTGACGCGAAGTTGGTTGTGGAATACACCGATAAAGACTACTGTTTTTTTAAATTCCTTGTCGGCCATCGGATGAGAGGATTCACATCTGATTATTGTGATGGTGTCTTGATTTTCACGCGCCTAATTAAATTTCTGGTTACATATAGGACAGACAATGACATAATAATCGTTCAGTTATAACACTCAGTACCTAGCTGTCAGTCGAGGCAAATAAGCGAACACGACTGCTACGGCTGAACGGGAGCAGTTATGTAGTTAGCTGTCTCCTGCTAGTTATCTCATCGTGCAACTTGTGTTGCTCTGCTGTGGCCAAATCCAGATTGTCGTTCGCCAAATGACCAAAAAATCGTGGTGTCCCAGGAACAGTTTCTTTCGTTCCTTACCCAAGGGTTTTCGGAATACCTACGCGTTCGGCTACTGCAACACAAAATGCCAGAAGCTGGTATC